AAAACGACACCATTATTCTCAATAAAGAACCAGTTTCTTTTCTTACAGCTCCTCATCATATCATCTTTGATCATTTAGCCACAGTGACAGAACTAGGACTATACCTTAATATTCTTTAACTGTCAGGGAGTCAGCTGCCAGGACCTTAAATTTTTGCTGTTGATTACAACACTTTGCAATCAAAAAATACAATTTCTGCTGTTTTCCAAAAAGCCACTGATACGACCAAATTCAACAATAATCAGTTAAAATAGTTCAACAGTTTTGTCACAAAATACAAATAATTTTTTTCCACATTTGGTCTGGTTTTCTGTAGCTCAAGAAGTAGAGCAGGTCATCTACTAAGGTTGGTGGTTTGATCCCTGGCTGCTCTGGATGCCTCTGGATGTATTCGTGTGAGTGTTAAGTAGAAAAGCACTTAGGCATAGAGAAAGGTACTTATATGAAGGAGGCATGTTGTAAAAAGTGCTATATAAGCACCAGCTCATTTTATCGTTCTCTTTTCCTTAGTCCATTTTTGCATCTTTTCAACAAACTATCCTATCAAACTGAAAAGGATACCCATTTCCATACCAAAAGAAGCAAAAAAAATTTTTTTCACAAAGCGCTTATGTTTTGTTGTTATTTGGATGAGGTTGTGCAGATATGATCCAATATGATGCAGGCTGGTGTATTCAGTGATGCCCCAGATCCTTCCAGAAGGCCTTTGGCCACTGGCATCAGCGCCAGCATTTGGCCATGTATTACACCGCTAATAGTTAGCTATAACTGCCACTAATACAAGACACATTATAAGACATGTCTTCGAAAGACTCCTGAATTTACATATATGGGAGAATTTCGTAAGAACAAAGACGGTGGGACCTTCCAGAGAAGAAAAAGGATTTCTTAAGAATGGTGATTTGACTGGTGTTGGATAATACTGTTACTGCTTTATTCTAGTGACCACTGAAATGCAAGTTAGTGTACAAAATGCCTCAGATTAACTGCTCATAAGATGTGTTACCAAGATGGCTTCCAAGTGCTGAGATATGCTTCTAGAAGAATGTCGATATTGGTACACTGCCATCAATAAATGTCAACTCATATAGGTGTCAGTAAGGTATAAATTGAAAGTAAGACAAATATCTGGATGGTGCATTCTCTTCACCCCTAGTAATTAGGTGTAATTTGTACCTATACTAATTAATTTCAACCTGTAACATGTTAGCTAAATAACAACACACACAGACAAACAGATCTGATTTAGCCATTCCAGCCAACAGAGACATCACAATAATGTAGCATGTACATAGTGTGGGAGATAATCCACTCATTTCCAAACAAAGGATTTGTGTTTCCTTCGAACACAACTGTAAACCACCAGCTGGCTCCATCACACATCCGGCCCAGCAGTGGAGGCAGGGGAAACTAAAATGTGACCAAAATGTGTGAGAAAAACAAGACCACACCAGGGCGGGAAAAGTAAAACCCGTGTCACACATGTACATGCACACAGTTCCAGGTGAGGGTCATCTTTTCCAGTCTGTCACGATGCTCCCTTCACTGTCTCTGCTGTTATTTTCTCCTTTTTATCTTCAACTGCTTTTTTTTATATCTCAGTACAGCCACAGTCTCCCGCTGTTATTGTTGCTTTGTATTTTACACGTGATGTTCAAATGTGTGTCAGCTATACCTTACATTAACAGCAATGATTCTAATATGATTCAGAGAATATGAGAATGTGCTCATGTGGTCTTCAAGCATAATTTTATAGTGATGTTTTTTGCTGTCAACACAATATTTCTGCAGTGACTAAGAGCTGCCGTGCTGAGTTCAGCATTAATATAGGACCACATTTTTTACAAGCACCAACAATACAATGATTATTAAATAAAAACACAAACACGGGGTAACAATAATACTAAACATGGACCTTTTAAGATTAATGGGCCTGTAATATATATATATATATATATATATATGTATATATGTATATGTATATATATATATATGACACACGATATTATGGCTGTACGTCCACACACACGCGCGCGCGCACACACACACACACACACACACACACACACACACACACACACACACACACGTACGTACCACCTTACTATAATATTTAGCTCCTTCCTTCGCTCACATACACGTATAAACACAGAGAAACACAGGAAAGACAAGGCCTACCTTAAGTGTTGTTTTTCCTCAATTCAGCGGCGATGAGAATAACAACCGTCTGACCGGTGGATAATAGGTCGGTCACGGTCGGGTTAATATCCAGCCCTCGGTGTATCCTCCTCCGTAAAACCCCGGTACAAACCAGCGGACCCGTTGTTGTGCGCGAGGCGGATTCCCACACTTCCCAAATTCCCCGTTCATTACCGGATATTAATATATTTTTATCAGTAGATGGACTGGTTATATTACGCTCATTATTCTCCTTCCACCGGTGAGCACGAGCTGACGTCTGAAGAGCTCCGGTGGCACGAGTCTCCTCCGGTCGACGGGAGGTGCTGCATTATTCATAAGAGGGGCGTGGCCAATACGCGGAGTGTGTGTGTTTGGGTGCGCGCGCGTGCTACAAACAACAGAATGCTTGGGCTGGGTTCAGTTAAACCAGCGTAGTCGCGATGAAGCGCTCGCGACGACGACATCTAGCGGCCAAAAGGTAATTTGCAGAAATAAATCTAATCAAAAGGCACATTTATTTTGCTGGAGAAAGTCAATGAGCAACATGGTTACGTTATATGATTCGTAGAGTAACAAATGCGTGTTAATCCGCATGTGAAAATAGACCACTGTTGTGTTAGTGTGCTTGTATCAGTTTTTTGTCTCTGTAACGTGGTTGTTTTTTGCTTGTTTGTTTATTGTTTTTAGCTGACCTGTTCACCTGTTATCTCAAGGCTTTAAGTTTGCACGATTTGGGCACGTTGAGTGACAGGTGAATCTAAACGATGAATCCTGAATGTCTTGCGGAACAAAATGATCTCATCAGATCAAATTACATGCTTCCACTCATCAGGTGTTCCTTGGCACATGCAGCAAAGAGGAAATATTAGTCCCTCTTTCCCGGGGTGTTTCTCATGAAAGCCACGGATATCTTTTGCACCTTCACAGGACGTTACAGTGATGTATTAACAACCTCTTTTTTCTCCTCTTGAGTAGTCTTTTCCAAAATATTGCTCAACAACTAATGACCTTAGATGCATGAAGAGCTAACCAAACAATTTTCAAGCTACTTGTTAAGTGAAATATTGCTAGCATTTTACAAAACTGTCATTGAACAGCAGCTACTCTGTGTGATGCTTCCACAGACTGAATATAAAAATGTAGAGCCACAAAGACATCAGTGAATACTCCCGGTCATGTAGTCTTTCAGAGTGTCAACTTGTCTGAGAAACCAAGGGACATTGGCTCTGATAGGCTAGCAATGACATGGTAAAACATACCCTACTTTCAAACTAGCAGTTTAGACCATCAAGTCGTCAGGAAGGTGCTTACTGAGGTCACAAATAAACGGAGATAACAACAATTGTTGTTTCAGTGTACACCGGTACTTGGTGCCACATTACCTAAGCAGATTTAGATGCATGCTCCACAGCTGTGTCCTAAAACATAAATCCAAAAAACTTTGCCTCCTCTTCTTCATTATTTAACATGCAGTTCTTGTTTGAACCAAATATTTCAAATTTGGAGTCATCACACCATAAGACCTGCTGTGACTGATTTTCAATTTAGCAATTCCATGGAGACCATGGATGGATCAATTATAAGGCATAATAAGGACAAAGACATCTTTCTAACATTCACACTGCACCGCATCCATCAGAGAACAACTTGAGGTTATCCCCAAGGATATCTGGCTAGAATGGAGCAACCAGGGATCAAAACACCAGCCTTCCTAATAGTAGAGGACCCGCTCTAACGCTTGAGCTATAGGAAATCACTTGCAAAGGTAAAGAACCTACAATAATACAGAGAAGACCCCAACAATCACGTCTCACTATGAGCAATGGCTTTGGTGACAGTGGGAAGGAAAAACTGCCCTCTCTACTTTCAAGATTAGGCTTAAAACTTTTCTTTCAACGCATAGTTAGGGCTGGATCAGGTGATCCTGAATCTAATAACCCCCAGGATGTTGCCTCTACCTGAGCTTGAAAGTAGAGAGGGTGTCTTTCTCCTGAATCCAAACCCATAGCTGGTTCCATAGAAGAGGGGCCTGAAAGCTAAAGGCTCTTCCTTTTGTTCTACATTTAAATGCCTCAGGAACCACAAGTAAGCCTGCAGTCTGAGAGTGAAGTGCTGTAATGGGGTGATACAGTAAGATGGGGCCTGGTCATTCAAGACTGTATATGTGCGGAAAAGGTTCTTAAATGTGATTTTGGATTTAACGGACAGCCAATAAAGAGAAACCAGTGTGGGAAAAATATGTTGTCTCTAGCTAGACCCTATCAGTACGCTTGCTGCAGCATCTTCAATCAACTGAAGGCTTTTGAGGGAATTTTTAAGACATCCAAATGATGTACATGCTGCACAACATGCAGAGATGTGCCACATTTTCATCTAATACCTCTTTGGGAATCAGAGACCACAGAGTCCACAGACCTCAAGCTCAAAGGGAGAGAGTTCCAGAGTCTGGGGGGCACCGTTACAAAAGTTGTCACCTGTCGTTTTCAGCCTTGTATGATGAACAACCAGCAAGCCCTGTGCAAGTGTTGTGTGTCTGCACATAACACTTGATCATTCCTTGAGTTAGATTCCTGTTTTGTTTGTCTTGAATGACACATTGGTCAGTTTTAAGTGGCTCAAACAAAACGATTCCTCTGAAAATGGTCAGGTACAAGTACTGGACTAAAAAGGAGTGAAAAACAGGCCAGTGTTCAAAGAACCTTCAAACGGCCCAGAGAGCTAAGAACTGATTACATATGAAACATGTCTGGCACCTTGGAAGAAAAACAATAAGGGGCACACCTCTGGAAGGAAAAAAAAAACCACACTGAGTTTCAAGGTTTAAAATTTCTGCAAAATTTACTGCAAATTATCATCAGAATCAAGTCGAGGCATTGGAGAAAAAACAAACTCTACCAAAGAATGCTTGACTGGTGTGGTAATTTCAGCTGCTCTCTACAACTCTACTAATCAGTAAAGGTCTGCCTATATGGCAAAACACAGCAGGAATATACCAATATTACTTGCATGTTAAAAACAAAAGAAGAAGAAGAATTTACACCAGCAAATAAAAGTATTTTTTTGTTGTTTCTATAAAAACACCTCTTCTCCTCCCACCATTTTTTTTTTGGAAGAGATGCACACACACGCTAAAATAAAGAATGACAATTAGTCTTGCAACATTTGTAGACTGTAAGAGGCTGACAATAAATAATTTCTTATAGCAGCATACAGTTTTATATGCAGTTTTTTCATAACACTTTAGCTCCGAGTTTCACTTCCTTTGGCAGACAGCAGATCATATTAACTAGTTACAGTCATTAAGTGGCCAAAATAAACTGGCATATGTCTCGTATTTAAAAAGGGCGTCACATAACACTGTAATTAAGGTTAGGTAACCGATTGGTCTTCACCCCACTTAAATTTGATGAGACAAGGACATCATTAACCTCACAATACATTCATAGAAGCTCTGCAGTGGATGGCTTGCTTCTGCTAAGTTAACAGACTTAACACAGAGGCTATTTTAAAAGCAGGAAAACATTCTACAGTGCAACAGACAAAAGACACGATATTCACAACAGGCCAGTGAAGTTAAGTATAAGTGCTCGCCTCATTAATGGACAATATCGTAGGCAGGAGACAGGTTTAGGCTGTGCCAAGTCTCAGCTGTCACAACAGTATAAATGTGTGCCTTTTCAAAGCTGTTGAAGTCGGTGGTTACGCTGACAGTGTAAGCGCCCATGTTGTCGACGAGAAGCCAGTCGCCCACGTACAGCTCAGGAATCCAGTAGCTTTCGGTTATTTTGTCGATGCTGTCGCAGGTTGGACCCCAGATGACGGAGCAATATCTCGGTTCGCTCTTCTTAACAGCCTGCAGAGAGGTTATCAACTGAGATATATTAAAAAAAAAAACCCACAACCTGTCTGAACTAACACTATGCTCAAGGTTCCAGCAGGCGTTACCACAGTCCTTGATTCTAACCTTAGCACATGATGTCACTGGCCTAAACATGCAGAAACTGCTGCTGTTGAAAGCATGGATGTTTAGCACTTTTCACCAGATGTGAAGAGGAAAATAAATAAATAAATAAAACGGTGAAATTCTTTTATAGGGATGCTGTTGATATTTACCCTGTGAGGGTACGGTTCAAGTTTGCTGTGAGCAGGGTCAAAGGTGATGCAACTCATGGAGCCGTACACACCGTCGTTAATGTAGTACATCATCACCCTCTCGGGGCAGCTTCCTGCTCCGTCTGGAGAACACAAACGAGGAATGATGGTTAGCATAACAGCAGCTGAGATGCTCAGAAACTACAACCCTGTACGCTAAGGTGTGTCGAACAGTTACATATCACTGCAACACCTGCGCATTTATTGGCTCTGTCCTCCACGACGACTCTTTTGGCGATGACGTTCACTGCCAGCGTGAAGGCCGATTCCACGTAGTATCTGCCCGGCTCTGCAATCACCTCCAACCCACTGACAGGTGGGAAGAATTCATCCAGCGATCCGTTAATGACTTCCGAGAACTAGGAACACACACGGTTAATAACTTGACTCCATGGCCTTATGCCTCTGCTCACAATACTTACTCTTTAAAAAAAAAGGCGGGGGTGTTTTGTGGTAGCGTGGGTTCCTCCCACAGTCCAAAGATGTGCGAGTTAGGTTAATAAATGGTTGCCCGTCTCTGTCTGTGTGTTAACCTGCGATATCCAGGCAACCTGTACCTGTGTGTCTTTACCCATGACAGCTGGGACAGAATCCAGCCCAACTGCGACCCTGCACTGAATAAGTGGGAGAAAATGGATGGATAGTGTTGCAGTGGTTAACTTGCACTATAAGGCAGATCTTATATTTAAAGGCTCCTCCACAACTTGAGTTATGCTTGAACGATCCGGTGTCTGCGTGAGAGTGCAGACAAAAAGCTCATCTCAGAACACACATACACACTCCAACTCTTTATTTACCATTGGCGAGCCCATTTTACATGCAGTCTTCAAATGACTGTGATGCCGTTACTGTTTGTGCTACAGACAAAATTCACTTTTATTCAGAAGAAGAGAAGACGAGCTTCTACAGGTTACTGCATTCCAGCAGATACTGGGTTCAGGACATCCAGACAAGTAGAGCAAAGACAGAGCTGAATGACAGCACGCTCCCCTGAATACCAGTCTGCTGTCGCCGTGGGGGAGAAACTAAACACACAAACATGTGTGTTGGCTGGTGTAAGAGTGGTTTTTCCTCCCTATAGCCTTTTAAATGAAATTTCTTCTTCATAATCAATAAAAATGATATGACAGAATAATTTTCAGCTCCTCTGAACGCCCTGGGAATCTCAAATGTACCAACAGCACCATCATGTGGCCACTGCTCTCCTTTCACTCTGCTTTGAACTACAAAGGCAGAAAAACAGATTCCAAATATCATCTGCAGCGAGAAGAACACCGTGAATGCTCTCAACGGGAACCATCAAGAAAAACAAGCAAACCAACTGATAGTGAAAGCATCAGAGTCACGTTTGTGTTCACGCATCGCTTCTTTGCTTGTTATATTGTTACATGTTGTATTTGTTGTAACTTCTTCTAGACATTTTTATTTCAGTGAGACTTTTAGTTGGATAAATAAAGGATGACCATCAGGTGAACGTCTTTAAGGTTTCTGTGCGTTTATAAGTGCAACTGCCCCACACTCCTTCCCCACATTTTGTCACCCTGGTTGGCACCAGGCTGGGAGCTCACTGACCCTCAGGAGGCATTTCCCAAACTGCCATCTCAGGCTAGAGATCCTTGTTTACCATCCATCCATCATAAACTGTGTTTGAGGCTGTGGTTGTTTGCAAGTGAGTGAGAACTGATTGTATACTGCATATTTTTTGACTTTTCATACACAACTCTAAGAAACAAATCCTTTCAACCTGTGGGGAGTTAATGTGCCAGAGCTGGTGATTAGAAACAGGACTTATATAATGTGGTGGAGACAATGCTAAAGCAGAGACTTTACCTCTTCAAACTTCTCTTGGAAGTCCCCAATCTTAGAAAATCCTCCACCAATATCCAAGAGTCTCATCTGGAACCCCAAAACACTCTGAAAGAGATCAGTGTTGCATACTGGAGCTGCAAATAAACAATACAGGAATTATTGTTGCGTTTATGTCACAATGGCTCACCGCTACGTCAAAGACGCGCCGAGCGTCTTCGATGGCCTGCCTGAAGGCCGAGCTTCTGGTGCAGCCGCTGCCCACGTGGAAGCTGACGCCGACCACCTCTAAGTTCAGCTCTCTGGCACGGCCCAGCAACTGTCTAACTGTGGGCAGTCTGGCTCCAAACTTTGGACTGAGTCTTACCATCGATTTGGAGTCGTCCACTGCAATTCGTATTACCAGCCTGCAAAGTGATTCAAAGGTGTTATTGCAAATAACACCGATTCGATCCAAGATGGCGCCGCGTATGGATGCCCTGGTGCTTCAGTGCATTACTTCTGTCTTGTTTTTGTGCATAACTTCTGTGTCTGGGCACTCCTCTGGATATTCTTACACCAGAGAAGAGCTTCTTAACTACAGGACTACAACACCTGTGGATTTACTTCCAGTATTTGTCGCATCCGCGGCAGATTTACTGCAGACTCTGATCAGGAAAGTGAGACGCCGAAAGAGAGGTAAGCGAGCCGGCGCACTCGTGCGTCTGAGGAGACGTGGACTGCGAACTGCTCTTCCTGGGATCTTCCTTTCCAATGTACGATCACTCAGGAATAAGACAGACGAACTGGCCCTGATGAGAAGCATGAACAGAGACTTTGCCTCCTCCTGTGTGTTATGTTTTACGGAGACGTGGCTCCGGACAGCGCGCTCAAGCTGGAGGGCTTTCATCTGCTGCGCGCTGACCGGCAGGCCTCTCTCTCTGGTAAGACCAAAGGTGGAGGTGTCTGCTTCTACATTAATAGTGGCTGGTGCACAGATGTAACAGTGATTGCTCAGCACTGCTCTTCCTCTCTGGAATACCTTTTCATTCACTGCAAACCGTTTTATTCTCCGCGGGAGTTTGCTTCATTCATCCTGGCCGCTGTTTACATCCCGCCAGATGCGGATGCGCAGGCAGCTCAGTGCGCACTCGCGGAGCAGATACTGCACATGGAGCGGACATTCCCGGACTCTCTCATCATTGCTCTTGGGGACTTTAACAAAGCCAATCTGAGCCATGAGCTTCCCAAATACAAGCAGTATATTAAATGCCCGACCAGAGAGGAGAGGACATTAGACCACTGTTACAGCACGATCAGGGGGGCCTATCGCGCGGTGCCCCGCGCTTCACTCGGACTTTCTGACCACGTCATGATCCACCTAATCCCCGCGTACAGACAGAGGCTGAAGCTCTCCAAACCTGTCGTGAGGACCAAAAAACTGTGGAGCAACGAGGCTGTGGAGGAGCTTCGCACGTGTTTGGAGTCTACAGACTGGGACACAATGAAGGCTGCTTCTAACAGCTTGGACGAGTTTACGGACACTGTCACCTCCTATATCCACTTCTGTGAGGACAGCATTGTGCCATCACGCACCAGGGTGAGTTATAACAATGACAAACCCTGGTTTACTCCTAAACTCAAAAAGCTGTGGCTGGAAAAGAGAAAGGCGTTCAGAAGCGGAGACAGGGACTGCTACAGAGAGGCCAAGTACAGAGAAGATGCAGCAGCAGATCTCAGAGAATGACTCGGCCTCTGTGTGGAAAGGTTTTAGGAATATCACCAACTACAAGCCTAAAACCCCCCACTCCACTGATGACTTGCTCTTGGCCAACACCCTCAACGACTTCTACTGCCGTTTTGACGAGCCATCAGGCAGCCTTCACACCTCCAACGGCCCCAACAATATAGACACTTTGGACACTCATTCCCCCACCTCTCCCCCCTCCATAGAGCCATCACCACCTTCAATCACTTCACCTGCAACACCCCCCTCCTCACCCCACACAAAAGAGGATTTCACACCACCTCCTCCCACCACAACTCTTCATATTCATGAAGCAGATGTGAGGAAGCAGTTTAAGAGTCTGAATGCTCGGAAAGCTCCCGGCCCAGACGGTGTGTCTCCTGCCACCCTCAGACACTGTGCAAACGAGCTGGCCCCAGTGTTTTCTGGCATTTTCAACTCCTCACTGCAGGCATGTCATGTGCCTGCCTGCTTCAAGTCCTCTACCATAATCCCTGTCCCCAAGAAACCTAGGATCACTGGACTAAATGACTACAGACCCGTGGCTCTGACATCTGTGGTCATGAAGTCATTTGAGCGCCTAGTTCTCTCCCATCTCAAGACCCTCACGGCCCCCCTCCTGGACCCCCTGCAGTTTGCATACAGAGCCAACAGGTCTGTAGATGACGCCATCAACATGGCCCTACACTTCATCCTGCAGCATCTGGACTCCCCAGGAACCTACGCCAGGATCCTGTTTGTGGACTTCAGCTCTGCCTTCAACACCATCCTTCCAGACCATCTCCAAGGCAAGCTTTCCCAGATGAATGTGCCTGATCCCATCTGCCGGTGGATCACTGACTTCCTGACGGACAGGAAGCAGCATGTGAGGCTGGGAAAGAATGTCTCGGACTCCCGGACCATCAGCACCAGCTCCCCTCAGGGCTGTGTTCTTTCTCCTCTGCTCTTCTCCCTGTATACTAACTGCTGCACCTCCACCCACCAGTCTGTCAAGCTAATCAAGTTTGCAGATGACGCCACCGTTATTGGGCTCATCTCGGACGGGGATGAGTCTGCCTACAGGAGGGAGGTTGAACGTCTGGTGTCCTGGTGCAGCCACAACAACCTGGTGCTGAATGCCCAGAAGACACTGGAGATTATTGTGGACTTCAGGAAGCACACAGCCCCACTCCCCCCCATCATCCTGACTGACACCCCCATCACCTCTGTGGACTCGTTCCGCTTCCTGGGTACCACCATCACCCAGGACCTGAAGTGGGAGCCCACCATCACCTCCGTCATCAAGAAAGCCCAGCAGAGGATGTACTTCCTGAGGCAGCTGAAGAAATTCAACCTGCCAACACGGACGATGATGCAATTCTACACCGCAATCATCGAGTCCATCCTCACCTCCTCCATCACCGTGTGGTACGCTGGAGCCACTATCAGGGACAAACAGAGACTGCAGCGTGTCGTGCGCTCTGCTGAGAAGGTGATTGGCTGCAGACTCCCATCTCTGCAGGACCTGTACACCTCCAGGACACTGGGGCGTGCAGCTCGGATCTCAGCTGACCCTTCTCACCCTGGACACAGTCTGTTTGACCTGCTGCCCTCAGGCAGGAGGCTCCGGTCCATTCGCACCAGAACCTCTCGCCACAAGAACAGTTTCTTCCCCTCTGCTGTCGGACACATGAACAATAAACGTACGACTGTTCCCACCACTAACACATGACCCTACGCTGTGTTCACTGCATCATTCCATGTTTGGCACTGATCACCACCTGCACTCATGTATATATCATGTATATATCTATCCACTTAGCACTTTTAATTCTTATTCTTATTTTTATATTTTTATGACAGTATGTTTGCACTGAAGCACCGCAGCAATTTCCTAATGTTGTAAACCTGCTCAACATTTGGCAATAAAACCCTTTCTGATTCTGATTCTGATTCTGATTCTGAAATCAATCCTCTCAAAGGAAGCTGCACCAAATGCTGAAACATAGTAGCGGTTGCTCACTTACTTGGCTTGGGGATGGACAAGAGAGATTTTTAAGAGTTCCTCCTCATTATCAAAAGTCATCAGATTCACTCTGTGAGCGCAGGCGTATCTGATGTGGGACAGCGGTTTGGTTGTGTGGGCGTAAATGATGTCATCGGGCTTCACGCCAAGCGATAGGGCCAGCTCGATCTCAGCCTGCGTGGGACCAAGATGTATTTATACAAGACCTGACTCTCAAGAACACAAACTAATCCTCATTATTTTAAGATATTCCATCAGTACCTTGCTGGCACAGTCGAATCCGGTGTCCAGAGCGCTTAGCATCTTCAAAACTGCTGTTGTGTTGTTGCACTTCACTGCATAGAAGGGTTTCACCCGAGGCAACAGACTGATCCACTGCAGGTGCCTCTCTAATATATTGTCAAGATTTACGACATAGAAAGGCTCCTCGCTGCCCTAGAAGATGCATTTTTTGGAGACCTCTTCATAATCATACAATATTTTGAGAGCCATCTCAGAACATTTGGACAAAATTAAGGAATTTGAATGATACGATGCCTCTGATGCTCACCACCGAATACAGCTGTCTAATCTTGCCATCAATGATGTCACTGATGCTCCTTCCAGTCTCTAATATTTCAATGGGATTCCTCTCAAGAGACAAATCATGCATGACTGATCCATTTGTAGTTTCAGGTGCTGGAGGAGACACGGAGCAGGAAAAGGCAAAAAGGTCTAGATTCGTAAACAAGAATCAACTTCATTCACAAAAACCAAAACATCAAATTAAGTTTTTCCCCCTGTTTTCTTACCATAGGATGAAACGTTCTCCATACAGTGGAAAAAAGAAACCAACAAAGCTATATAAGCTATTTTCAAACAGGCCCGAGTGTGTTTGCAGGGCTTTCTAGCTATGCAGGCACACTTGACAAGGATTCAGTCCAACAGATACTCAGTGTGCTGTGTTTTATTAGCTGAGAACAGACTTTTCTCCACCTACCTTTAAGGAAAAAAACAAAAAAAAACCAAAAAAAAAAACCCAAAACAAAGAACATCAGTAGTATTTACTTTACAAAACCTGCAATACTATTTTTTTTCCTGTGCAATGTCAATATGTCTCTAAACTAACTACACTAGGGAACAGCCCGTGAGGGTACGTTTCAGTAGTGTTTCCATGTGTGCGTGCCATTCTGTCTCTAAACATGACAGCAGCAAGTTTTCAATGTAATGTAAAACTTTGTTAACATGACCCAACTCAGCACTCCTGCAATCTATTATAATCCACCAAGGTCATCAAGATCAACTCGAATGATTTATCAGTCAAAAAATAATATAAAGCCTTATAACTATGACTCTTATAAGTATGATGACAACATAGGCATAGAGGGAATGATACAAGGATGTTAAAAATGACATTATTTTGGCCTTTGAACTATTCTTCAAATAAAAAAAAATCTTCATGTCTTACTTTTAAAGCTATGCTTTTCATGTTTGTATAAGGTGACCTGAAAACCTGTTACATCTTTAAAGTATCATCAAGAGAAATCATCTGCTGGGCTAGGTATAAATACACAGTAGTATAACACTGACGTCTGCAATGGTACAATAGCGATGGGCTAATGGACATCTGAAGACTGCTGGGTACCACAGACAGGAGCTTCAATAACTTTATGAAAAAGTGATGATGCAATGACTACGCTGGGAGATGAAAATCAGGAGCCCCTCATGTTTTACAACTTTACCTGACTCATCAAATATGCCACAGAAGGCCAGCATAAACAGGCAGTGAAAATAAGTTTGTGCTGGGAATCCTGTGTGAACATGTGCAATAAAGACATTTTGACCTTGAGCACCCAGACCCACAATGGCCTGTCCTCTGGGTGCATACTTACTCCCTGAGCACCTGGCACAAACAGTGGCATGCTCTTACAGCAAAACAGCATTTCTCAGGTTTCTATATTTTTATTATGCTCCCCAGAAGTCCTGCGCTGGCCACTCCACCGCAGGCCTGCACCTGCATAGCGAGCAAATATGAATCTGTGTCAAATTGAACTCTTCTCTGTGTGAAAGGACGTTACTGGTGATAAGAGCCGCGTCTCTGCGGCATTTCCCACACAGAGACGTGACTGTTACGTTTCGGTGTTGTCAGTGTGTTGTTTTTGGCGTGACTGTTATGTGTTTCCTGTTTTACTTTGAAAGTCTGTGTTATCTTAGTCTTTTCAGTTTACGTTTCCCTGTCTCGTCAGTTCTGAGTTGCCCCAGCTGTGTTTCCCTCTTGTTGTCCATTTTCCTGATTGCTCCCTCTAGGTATTTAAACCCTGTGTTTCAGTGTGTCATGGTCGCGATCTCCCCCGGTTGCCTAGGCCGGGGCGTAACATTGTGTGTGTGGTTTTTTTTCCCTTTATTTTTCCTTTTTTCGTGTTGCACTCCGGTTGCCTAGGCCGGGGTGTAACAGTGACACAGTGTGTGCTTACAGCAACTGGAGTGCACTCCGACTCGTTTTACTAGCAGGCAAAGCCCTCGCCTTCTGCTCAGAGAACGAAGTTCACCAGAAGAACCAGCTGCAGTCCACAGGACGAGACACTCACTAATGATTACCAATTATGTTGCAAAAAAGTAAATAAATACTCAACTGCCTGGGAAGAGCTATTGCACTTCCTGTGAATAACAATGAGGAAATTACTCTAGAAACAGGCTGCTATTCAGTCCAGAGTGCTTGTGAGACAGTAAGTGAATGAGGAGCAACAACTTAATCTATTGCATACATCTGCTTCTACAAAAAAAGGCTGTATCTTAAAAAACCCCAGAAAACATCAACTTGTAAGATGATGCTTTACTCCAACTAAAAGCAAACCTGTAAAAACAAAGCTGCAGATATTGAAACCATGTAGCCCAGAGTGGGGATCTGATAGTATTAGAAGTTCCACTCCATTACTAGCATACACATACAGGTGTGCAGATGCCTCTCCCCTGACCAAAATAGACAAAATTTAGTGGGAAACGCTGCTGCAACTAATCTGAGCTGTTTTCAGTCAGCTAGTCCAATTTTTCAGCCTGAAGTCAATGCATCAGATGAGGAATGAGACCACAAGACCAGGTAACACATCCTGTAAAGCTGCCTAATTAACAGCTATGAAATCACTGACTAATGATGAATCACATCCATCAGACCTCTGTGTGCTGATAAGTAGGAGGGTCTGCAGTTTTTAAGTGTCACAATTCTCTGTGTCTTAAATACACCACCGAGGCTGAAAGAAATAAAACTAAAACCATCTTTGGTACTTCTAAACATCAACAGTCTCTCACGTCTTAATGACAGGACTGTGGTATTAACATTTTTATATTTTTGCCTGACTACAGAGAGGCTTAACTTGATTGATACAGTAACTCTTTTCCAGCCTTACAGAGCAACATGCTCTGTAAAGGACATACTGAACACCGAGATCTGGGCTAATAGCTTGTTGAGAATCACTTTGCTGGTGTAAAATACAACTTTATGCCTGTTAAACTGTTATCTTTGGAATTTTTGTAGCTTTAACTGAATAGGTGAGTTTCTGCAACAGGCTGCCACTAAAGGGCCTAAACATACAATTTAAAATGAGTTCTGTGCCAAGATGTCTGTTATGTGTAGACACGCCATTGGTTTGTCTTTTTTTGTTTTTTGTTTAAAGAGCCACAGGTCATTAAATGGCTTACAAATCCCTCGGAAAATGTTCAATGAAAGGACTGGGCCAAAAATGAGTGAAAAAGCACTTCACAAAGCCTGCAGGAGTCCTGTTTAGGAGAGCTTGGAAGCAAATACAGGGAAGGCTTAAGACTTTTACAAGCACTGTTTACTTCCGGACAAAAGCAACATTGACCGCTGGTATAGTGGAGGTGTGCATTGCCCGTGTTTGTCTGGACCATTTACCTAACCTGAAGATGGAAAAAGACATGTGGAAGCGGCCTCATCTCTGGGTCGTACAAGGCTGAAGTCCAGCGCTGAGTAGTGATGTGCGGATCGATCCTGAAATATCGATTCCTCCGATACCAATCATTTATGTTCTAGAATCGATTCTCACATTAAAATATCGATATTTTAGTAATTTAGGGTAAATTGTAGTTTATCATTAACAGGAACACAGTGGAAAGAAACTATAACATTCGGATTTTCTACATTCAAAGGAACTACTTCCTCTTCCGCCTTTCATAGTCATGTGCGAAATACGGCTGTATAAATGTCTCGCAGCCCCTTGGCGTGCGCGCTCACAACAATGGCTGAGCGTAATTGTGCGGACGTATTTTACCTCCACAAACAGCTGAGATGTGGTTTGCGATACATTTGGCAAAAAAGTGAGGTGTTGTGGCCATACTTGCCAACCTTGAGACCTCAGAATTAGGAAGACATTCAAAAGGGCTGTTGGGGGGGAGTGATAAATAAATTTTACAGTGTTTATCGGAGAAAATACGTTAAATGTCACCGTTATTATTGGCCGGCCCAGAAACAGCGGGGGTGTCCAAATTCAGAGGCTGCTTCCGCCTGAGGACCGGCCTTCATGGTCTAAAGAAAGCCGTCACAAGCTCCCTCGGTGGAGTGAAACTCTGCCGTCTGCTCCTTGCTGTCTAAAATATAACCGGGCGCTGACTTAAACTCTTCTGTTTAATCAGTTTTCTGCTTGATGTTTATTCAGCTGTGTGAAAACCCCGGAGGAACCCTCCCGAGGGATTAATAAAGTTAAATTTAATTTAATCTAATCTAATAACTTTAATCTCAGCCAAACCGATTTACTCACGAACAAATAAAACACTGAAAAAGCCAAACAATAACATTTTTAAATTATCAAAGTGACTTATATATCATGTTTAACCCGAGTAGTGAAAGACCGCGGGGGTTTGAAGACGATGTGTCGGTCGGCTCAGATATTTGAAGTTTACACAGCTACATTCTGAAAACCTGAAACCTGAAAATATGTTAAAAGTTTTTTTTAAATTTTTATTATGTTGCTCTTTGTTGTTTGCTTTCTCTTCTGTTTTTTTCCCTCCATACAGGTGATCCAGGTGTTTTGCGGGGTTTTTCTTCCCCCCCCCTTCTCACCGTCTCTTCTCCCCTTTGGTTTTCAATCAAATGGACCAATATGGCAAGGCCATGATGATCCACTTGGTAAAATAAATCTGCTTGGCATCTTTCTTGGCCTTAAGACAACAATTCTGATGGCTAAAGATCCAAACGGGACACAAAAAAAAAAAAGAAAAGAAAAAAAGTTTCTTTGCGACCCAGAAAGAGAAATAAGAGTAATATTAAAACTAAGTAGCTGCCGCCGTTGTTGGAAACTGGAATTGGCTGCGCCTGCTATGAATTCTCGATATGGTTTTTCAATTTTGTTGCCCGGGTGGAAAATCGGGAGAAATTCGGGAGAATGGTGGCTCCGGGAGATTTTCGGGAGGGGCACTGAAATTCGGCATTCTCCCGGAAAAATCAGGAGGGTTGGGATGTATGGTTGTGGCAACATCACTAACCTTGTCAAACACCTCAGAGTAGGGGAGACCGGGGATAGTTGTAACGTGGGTCAGTTACACTTCCAATTTCTCCAATCAGGGCTAAGTTTCAAATGATGTGACTCATCCTGTGCATGCCCAATTCAGTTCTGCTATCACATGTGAAAAATCAGCACATTTTGTCAAACACAGACAATTTAACACAAAAAAAGTAATTTGTATGCGAAAAAGTAAGTTTTTCTACTTTATTTCAATGTTTAATAGCATTATCTGCTTTGCAGTTAAACTCATCAAACTTAAATTATGTTATTTGTATGTCTATGGGGATATATTCTGTGTAAGTCTTTAGTGCTAATGTTTTAGCCGTTGGCTGTAATGTTAGCTAGTTCATGGCTATAGGAGTCTGGGTCAGTTGTAACAGCAACAGTCTGGGTTAGTTGTAACAATAACGCAGATGTTACAACTTACCACACTATTACTTTAACTTATATTAAACAAGTTGGGGCAACGACATCAGCAGAGAGAGGTTCACTGGTCGCTTTTGTATATGCGGTTAATGCCATTGGCAACACAATTCCTCCACTGTTTGTGTTCCCACACATACATTATGCTGACCACTGTGTCAGAGATGGACCAGTAGGAAGTACTGGTAGTGGAAATAAATCAGGATGGGTGCAAGAAACAGATTTCCTCATCTTTCTGAAGCACTCTGCAAACCACACCAAGGTAAGCCATGAAAAAAAGTAATGGAATTGCGATGCTGGTGAACAACTACATTTTTTCAGCTTCATTGTTATGTTCAAAATTGGTGCAAGAGTTGTAGGTTATAATGCCCACTGAGCCAATGGGACCAAACTCAAGGAAGACCAACCAAAATTAATGAAATATTCAGTTGCAGAAAATTCCATAATTTGTCTTTTTTGGGGGGTTGGAATATGTTCAAAAGCTAGATTTCTGCATTCTGTCACACACACACACACACACACACACACACACACACACACACACACACACACACACACACACACACACACACACACACACACGGCTCTAAGTGCATTCGTGTGTTGAATAAACAAAGATTACTTGTTAATATTTTGTTAGTACCCTTATTTCATTGTGTTACATTTTACCCCAGGATATGTTACAACTAACCCAGACTATGGGGTTAATTGTAACATTTCACTCTTTGTGTTTGAGACCATACCATGCAATGGGTAATTGTGCTGCAGAGAAAATAGCTGCACTATTTAATAGCAGAGACATGTAAATACTTTGCATTACATTTTGAATCCACTACCTTAAAAGAGCTCCAATTTACAGACAGAAATGTCAAAAATGTTACAACTATCCCCGGTCTCCCCTAAATCATATCACAGGATATGACAAGTGTATGTTGAGACGAACTGAAGAGGAGGACAGGGACAGGTGCTGCTAGGGCGACACAGACGTCTCTCACGAAGTCCTTTAGTGCTGCAGGCAGGCAAGGTGTTCAAATAGCGCACAACTTAAGTTTTTTTATTTCTATATGATGAACTCTGCATTATTAAGTGATAAGAACAAGTAATCTGATGACCTATGTCCAAATAACGATGTCCAAATAATTTCCCCCAGGGATCAATAAAGTATTCTGATTCTGATTCTGATATAATCATTATGACGCTATAATTTGAGATACAATAAATAAAATGAGTTTTTGTACAAAGTATCGGTATCGGATCAGTATCGTCGATACCACCCTGAATATTACTTGGTATCAGATCAGAAAGGAAATCAGTGGTATCGCACATCACTAGCGCTGAGTGACGGTGCAGGTAGCAGACTTACCAGGAAGAGATGCCCCCTACAGGCTTATATAGGAATCTGCTGAGGTATGAAAACAAGCTAGAATACCTTCTACTTCTGTCCAATCGCTAAGAACACCGTGCACACATAACTTCAAGCTAATTTTTGACTTGCCCTAAGGTTAATCCATTGTTTATTGTTTATTGTTGATGTTAATCCATCATCACAGTATAACAGGAAGCCAGGATATCAGTCTGTGCAGTTAGGAAAAAAAAATCATACATTTTAACTGCTTTGGTGCAAATCAAAGTGATAAAAGGTGAAAAGGATATTATGCAATTTACACACGCAATGCTATTTATATAAAAAAACCAAAGCATTTGCAGATGGATAGTTACACAATGGTGTAACTATCGTCTTAGTGTAATGTATGCTTCCTCTCTGGGCATTAATCACATATGAAATCTACCTCATGTTCCTGTTTCTTTCATTTAAGGAACATTTCTAGATTGCAAGCTACAGTCTGCCCCTCTGAACTGGGGAAAACTGGTCCTTTGTGTCGTTGTGTCAAGATTATTGTAATCCTTCGTTTACCAACTCAGATAAACTGTCGCTTTCATCCTTACAAGCTAGAAAAAATGTTGCGACCAGACACCAAACGTACTATAGCAAGCAAGTTCACATTGCGCTGATTTTATTGTTTTTATGATGGCTCCCAGTTTATTTTAGAATTTGTTTTGAAATTCTCATACTTGCATACAACATCTCCCACCCCATGCAGCAGACTGTGACAGCACTGAGCAGCTCCTTCAGTGGGAGACTGCGGCACCCACGGTGTGGGACGGAGAGATTTCGCAGGTCTTTCCTCCCCACTGCTGTCAGACTCCATAATAAAGACTTTAACTGATCAAGCACACACATCCATACATATGCAATAATACTAAGTGCAATAATCCTTTCTGTCATCGTTGTATTTTTACTCAGTTGTATATAGTATTTGTATTTGTATTCTATTTTTATCTTATTGTATATTTATTTTATTTTATTCTACTGTATATAGTATTTTATTTTATTCTATTCTGTACAGTTGTGTACTGTATTTATTCTTATTGTATTCTAATTTTTGCCTCATAACTTTTGCACTGTCCACTCCTGCTGTGACAAAACAAATTTCCCACGTGTGGGACTAATAAAGGTTATCTTATCTTATCTTATCTTAGCTCCAGACTAAATATTTCAGCTTCCTGTTAAATACACTGCTGCTCGCTGTCTTTACTCAGAAAACTGAGAGGACCGAGGCCTGCAGTGTGTAGCCCTAGTGTTCAGGAACAGAACCTCCTCTGTTTAGCTGCAGTTAAAAACTTTTCTGTCTAAACAGACCTTCTGTTTTTTTCATTGTTCATCTCTTTATCAAGTTCTTTTTTTTTTTTAAAATTCAATGTGTTTCCTTAGTCTAATATGATCCCAGTGTTAATAGGAAAATTAGGAGCTGTAAACCCCAAACTGAAAGAGTGGCTCTGGCAGATTTCAGGCACAGCATCAGAGAAGACTGTAGTCCTACAATCAGATGATGCAGAACGCACAGAGCTCTGGTAGATGACATGCACAACCATGCTGTGATGTGACTGTGCTGACCAGTGTTGTTCTCTAGCATATCGAGACTATCTCTCCACACCGTTACATATTCCATATGTACGGGGTACGACGCCCCCGGTCGTGGCGTGTGGATATTTCTTTAAGACACTCCGGCACGCCCGGCTACGCCCCACAGCTACGTATAAAACAGCTGTGCAGACGTGACACCGGTGATCGTTGATCTCCACTTGTTGTGTGTGTGTGCGAAGGAGTGCTTACCTTGAGAGTGCTGTGTGTGTGCGCGTCTCTTGGAGCGTGCTTCGGCATCCTCCGTGGGCGATGTATTTCTCCCTTCTAGATCCCCTGGTAGCCCCGATATTCCCCTGGTGTCCCCGGTGTTCCCCTGGTGTCCCCGGTATTCCCCTGGTGTCCCCGGTGTTCCCCTGGTGTCCCCGGCCTGTTGGTCCGGCTGTCGGCTAGCTGCGGCCCGCTCTCCTTAGCCTCTCTTGCGGGGAGACTCGGCGCTCGGAGCGAGTGCTGTCGCCTGGGCGCTGGGTAGCTTAGCCTGTGGGCTACGCGGCGGCTCGCGGCAGCGGCTTGCTGTGTGACTGCTGTCAGCTGGGCTGCTGTGTTGCTTGATCCCGGTGGGGACACTGCTTTGCATCGCTAGCGTGTGCCGTCGGCTAGGCTGCTGTGACAGCATAACACATAGGGGTAAACAGTCACGGGAAGTAAAGGAAACGGTTTCCAAGGCCTAATCCGTGGATCGACTTCCTCCGAGGCGTGGACGTCTATCAGCAGAGAATGTACCTTCACTTATCAGCAGAGAATGTCCCTTAGTCTGTAACACAGTCAAATATATTCTCAAGTAATATTCAAGCATGCCATTCAGCGTGTTAGTACGAGCTCGGGAGCAGCTTGGGAGAACAAGAAAACAGAGACTGCTTTAGATTGTCTTCCCAAAGTGACTCAACTTTATTCACAAGTACAACAGTTTATACAGAGGGTAAAATTCATGAGACAGCAGATTTATCAGTTTAAACCAGTACAGACCAAGATAAGGCAGCGTCTTCCTGCCCTTGGGTGAAGAAGCATCCTTTGTGTAGTGTATCAGTTCAGCTACAATTGTGATTATCTCAGCGACATATTTTCAAGGCACAAAACAGAGTTCTTACATTAGTGAAATCTGAAACAAACCATTTGGCCTCAACAGGCGTCTCCTAAAAGATTAAGAAACTAATGTAGCTGAGGGAGTGATCTCTGTGGTATTTCAACCTTGTACCAGCCTGTGATTCTCACACATCAATTCTTGGGTCAAAGAGAAAAATAACTAAAACAAAGGGGCCTTATTGAATGACAGAGTTTTCCTGCATAATGTCACTATAAAACAATATCCAGTAAATGCTCCCATGGTGCTAAAATACCTAACAGGAAGTAAACAGCTTCAGTGTTGCTATCGGCTAGCTGCTGTGGCACGCTACATAGGGGTCACGCGGCTCGGCGTTGCTGTTACACCATCGCCTGCTCGCTCGGCTCTGCTGCGGCTGTGTGCATAAACGCCGCCAGCAGAGGCTGTGTCCCACTCTTCCCTGACAGTGAGGTGTGTAAGGAAGATCGCTTGCCTGCCCTGCGGGAATTAACAGTGGGTTTGGGTTTCAGGCTAGGGCGGCACTTCCCCGTTGGTGTGTGGTCCCGCCCCTTGCTAGCCACGCTGTATGGCGGGCCACACCTCCCCGTCTTGCCTTGAGTGTGGCATTCCTATGCTTTTGGAGGATGGGCACGAGCACTGTGTGCTGTGTCTAGGTCCTGAGCATGCTTTGCTGGCTAGAGAAGCCCCTGACTCGTGCATGAATTGTTTTATTCTGCCCAAACGGACTAGGGAAGCTCGTGCTAGGTTTTTTTTCTGTCAAGCTACCCGCACCTCCCTCATCTCAGGCCTCTCAGGCGAAAGTGCAGAAGATAGCTGCTGCTGACGTAGAATCTGGTCCCGCAGCTCCATGGGCCGGGTCCCCTTCCTCGTTTGTCGACCTGCCGGGCCCCTCCCATGCCTTTCCCTCCTGTGACTCCGCCCCTGGGCCTGTGCCATTGAATGTGGACTATGGGGAGGCGGACGTTGACCAGGCCTCCATCCTCTCCTCCGATGCCTCCCCCCTGTCTCCCGAGGTGCCCCCTGCTGGTTACCCTGGCATGGAGTCTGGCCAGTTGAGTTTCTTTCAGCTTTTGGAAAGGGCGTGCCGGGCGCTTGAGCTGTCCCTCCCTGAGGTGCCGGTCGACGCCTTCTCGGTTTGATGACGCTTCACGGCCTCAACGCTCCCTATCTCAGGTGCTACTGCTGCCTGATTTTCAGGACCTGGTGTGCGCACAGTTTGAGGCCCCCGCGGCTCTGCACCGTTGGTCCCCTGCCTGTAAGCGCTTTTTGGCCATGCATGGCCGGGAGCGCATTGCCTGTGGGTCCCTTCACCCGGTTGATCCGTCCCTGGCCCCCCTGGTTGCCCCTTCGGGCTCCCTCCTGGGGCGGGCTAATCCCTAATAGGGATGTGAAAACCATGGACGGCCTCTTGGCTCGACTGCATAGGTCAATGGCGACCCAGGCCTGCCTGTCTAATTCGTTGGCCATATTGTCGCTTCATCTGCGGCATTTGGCCCGTCGATTGCAGGCTACCTCGAGCAATCTGGAGGGCGTGGGTGAGTTGCTGTCCACGTCCTCTCTCCTAGCCTCACTCATGAAACATCAGGCTATTGCCACGGGCTCTTCCTTGGCTGCTTTTTGGGTGGCGCTTCGCCATCTCTGGCTGTCTCAGTCCCGGCTCCGTTCGGATGACCAGGATTGCCTCATGAGGCTCACGGTCGACCCTGCAGCCATGTTTGGCCCCGGTGCGGCTCTGCTCCTCCAGCAGGCTACGGAGACTCGCCGTGCTACGCAGGAGATGTCGCAGGGCTTACGCAAGCGTCCGGTCAGGGTGGGGCGGGCTCGTGCTTCTGTGTCGCCTGCCCCTGCCGCTCCTACTTGGGGTCCTGAAGATCCCCGGACCCAGCTGGAGGCCTTTCGTAGGTGCGGCAGCCGCGCTCAGGCTCGGAGAGGGGGCCAGGGTGCCAAGGGCCAGTCGTCCTCCGGCCGCCTCCCTCCTTCCTGATGTTTCCACAGGCCAGGCCGCCCTGCCCGCCTCCCTGGCTACAGAACAGCGTAGGGTTGCCTGGTCGGCCCTGGGGGCAGACCCTTGGGAGGAAGGAACTGGGGTCCCTTCTATCGAAGGGCACCATATGGGAGGTGGATGCCAGGGACCGCCGGGTGGGGTTCTTCTCCCGTTACTTTTTGGTCCCAAAGCGGGATGGGGGTCTCCGTCCCATTCTGGACCTCAGGGGCCTCAATCGCTATCTCCGGCCCCTGAAGTGCAAGATGCCCACGGTCCTCAGGGTGCGTCAGGCCATCGCTGCAGGGGACTGGTTTGCCACCATCGACCTGAAGGACGCCTACTTCCAGATCCCTATCTGGCAGGGTCATTGGCGGTTCCTCAGGTTTGGGTTCGAGGGGCGGATCTTCGAGTTCCGCGTCCTCCCCTTTGGGATTTCCCTGGCGCCCCATACCTTTACCAGGTGCATGGATGCCGTCCTATGAGGCTGCGGGGTGTCAGGGTTCTCAATTATTTGGACGACTGGCTTATCTGTGCTTCCTCGGAAGAGCAGTGTCGCAGCCATGTTGCCCTGTTGGTCTCGCATATTCAGGCTCTGGGACTCCGCCTGAATCTCAAGAAGTCCAGGTTGGAGCCTTCCCAAACCACCACCTTTCTGGGCATGTCCCTGGACTCCGTCAAGGCCTTGGGCTCCCTGACAGCAGATCGCCGGAGGGTCCTCGGGGCATGCCTTGCCTCCTTCAGCCTCCACTCTCGGGTGCGCTGGGGACTGTGTCTCCGCCTCATGGGCCTGATGGCTGCTACAGTGCAGGTGGTCCCATTGGCTCTCCTGCACATGAGACCGGTTCAGCGTTGCCTGCTGTCTCTCGGCCTCTGCCCGCAGCGGTCACACCTGTCCACCGTGCTGGTTTCCCGGGGCCTGGCCCGGGCCCTGCGGTGGTGGAGGGACCCTGTCAATCTCCGACAGGGTCAGGCGATGGGTCCTGTGACTCGCCGGCTGGTGGTCTTCTCAGACGCCTCCCCAGTCGGCTGGGGGGCGGTCCACGAGGGTTGCGGGGTCAGCGGCCGCTGGTCGGGCCCATGGTTGTCCCAACACATCAATGTCCTGGAGTTGCGAGCCGCATTCCTGGCACTTCAACTTTTTTCTCCTCGGCTGCAGGGGTTTCACGTTATTGTCCGGACGGACAGCACCGTGGCGGCTGCCTATATCAACCGCCAGGGTGGGTTGGGCTCTCCTCCCCTCTGCAACATGGCCACCAGACTGTGGTTGTGGGCCCACCCCAGGTTTCTCTCCCTCTGGGTGGTCCACGTGCCTGGACCCCTGAACACGGCAGCGGACATGCTGTCCAGGGGGGGCCCGTGCCCTGGGAAGTGGCGACTCCACCCGCAGGTGGTGGTCGGGATTTGGCGCCGGTGTGGCAGGGCAGCGGTCGACCTCTTTGCCTCAAGAACTTTGACCCACTGCCCCCTGTTCTTTTCCCTGAAGGCCGACGATCCCCCCCTGGGCTGGGATGCCCTGGCACACCCCTGGCCCCGGGTCCTCCTGTACGCCTTCCCTCCCTTCTCCCTCCTTCACTCGGTCCTCTGTCGAGTTCAGACCGTGGAGATGTGGCTCATTCTGGTGGCCCTGCTATGGCCTCACATGCCCTGGTTTTCAGCCATTCCACCCTTCCTGGACGGCGTGCCCTGGCCGCTCCCGATTCGGAGGGACCTCCTGTCGCAGGCCGCGGGGGCTCTGTTCCATCCTTTCCTGGCAGGGTTGCGGCTGACTGCCTGGCCCCTGAGAGGGAGGGTCTCGGCGCCTTAGGCCTCCCTGCCTCGGTCATTGACACCATGCAGGAGTCTCGGGCGCCTTGCACCAGGGCTGCTTACTGCTACTGCTGGGGACTGTTCGCCGCCTGGTGCGCGGCCCGCGGGCAGGACCCCCATGGCGCGACGGTGGACGCCATCCTGAGCTTCCTGCAGTCCCAGCTGGAGGCTGGCAGGGCCGCCGCCACATTGCGTGGCCTGGTGGCTGCAATTAAGGCTGTTCGCCTCAGTCGCTCAGCCATTAGTGACGCCGATGCCGTCTAGATTTCCCGATTCCTGAGAGGCGCCCATCGCCTCACGGCTCGTGCGCCAGGGTCCGCGGTCCCCCCTTGGGATCTGGACCTGGTCCTTGGTGCCCTTGCGCACCCTCCCTTCGAACCTCTGCACGAAGCGGGGTTGAAGTGGCTGTCGCTCAAGACCGCTTTTCTCCTCGCTATTACGTCTGCTAGACGAATCGGCGAGCTGCAGGCCCTGTCGGTCCATCGTGACTGTTGCAGATGGCTACCGGACGGTCAAGGGGTGGTCCTTCGGCCTAACCCCGCCTTCCTGCCGAAGTCCCTCTCCGATTTTCACCTCTCCCAGTCGGTTGAGTTGCGGTCAGCCCCCACTGGCGGTCTGGATCAGGAGGCGGCGCAGCGTCTCCGGGCCCTGTGCCCCATTTGTGCACTGGCGCTGTACATTGCTCGTACTCGGCCGTTTTGTTCCACGGACCAGGTGTTCGTCTCGTTCCATCCTGGGTTGCTTTGCAGGCCCCTGTCCAAGCCCCGGTTGTCCCGCTGGGTCGTGGAGGCCATCAGCCAGGCTTATGCCTCGGCCGGTGTCCCTCTCCCCTTGGGCGTTCGGGCCCACTCTACGCGTAGTGTGGCCACTTCCTGGGCTTTGTGGAGAGGCGCCTCCCTCT